TTTCGGATGCCTTCTGGGCGCTTTCCTAGGGAGGTGTTCCGGGCATGTCCCACCGGGAGGAGGCCCTGGGGAAGACCCAGGACACGCTGGAGGGACTATGTCTCTCGGCTGGCCTGGGAACGCCGCGGCATTCCCCCGGAGGAGCTGGAGGAAGTGTCTGGAGAGAGGGAAGTCTGGGCATCTTTGCTTAGACTGCTGCCCCCACGACCCGGTCCCGGATAAGCAGAGGAAAATGGATGGATGGATGGATATAATTCCAGTAAGATGATTCAAACTCAACAACCTGAATACTGCAGCATCGCAGGCCCTCTTTTCCGCTCTCATGACCACATATAACCCCCACTTTGCACATCACTTCCACGTTACGCTGTATCTTATTCCCACAGACCCACCCAATGGCTCCCCCTCTTGTTCAGTGGAGGCAGCTCTGAATCACACCTCTCTGAGACTGCTCTGCTCATGGCCCGGTGGACTCCCTTCCCCCTCCCTCCACTGGACTGGAGACCTGCAGCATGTGGAACAAGACCCGACTGGCACAGCACAGCAAACAAATCCAATGACCAACACTAACATCTTGCTGCCGTCTGAAGGCCTGCCTTCCAACAGCATGTTTACATGCACGGGCTCCCACCCGGCGCTCAAACAGTCAACAGAGTGCAGCACACGCACATGTGAGAAATGGACAGTGACAGTAAAGGTTCTCCACATTCTCTGTTCTCCAAACCCCTCACATCTAACTTGAACCTTTGCTTTTCCACCAGATGTTCCCCCTGGAGAGCCACTGTGTTCTGCCTATGTGACTAACAACCAGCAGTATCTGATGTTGTCTTGTTCCTGGGATGGTGGGGCCCCGAAAGCCTTGGTGTGGTGGGAGGGCCCGGGTGGCCAAGGCAAAGGCGGAGAAGAAAACTCCAACATCCTCGTCCTTCGCTATGGCACTGCCCGCAGCGAGAAGCCCTACACCTGCCATGCTAAACATTCACTTCTGGCCCTAACTAAAACCTGCAGGCTCTCACTGGGTCAGTGCACGTGGTCAGAACAAATAGTAAATATAACTTTGATTAAAAGATTTACTCACTTGTCACCATTTTCACAGAGGCCCCTGTTTTGCTGACACAGCGCAGAGTTGTGTCTGTATATGAGGGGAGTGATGTCCAGCTCACCTGCAGCCTGAAAGCCAACTATCTTCCTATCAATGAAATCAACTGGTTTAACAATCAGGGCGAGGACATCCAGGACACTTCCAAGTACACCCTGCTTCGAACATCTGAGTGGGCCAATCTGACTGTGAGAGACACAGACGAGAGTCAAGACAGTGGCGAGTACAGGTGCTCCACTTCCAATGCAGTGGGAGGGACAGAGATCAATATCACTTTAGTGGTCAAGGGGAAGCAATTTTTTTTTTTTTATTTTTTTTTTTATTATATTTGTTGACTGACATACAAAACCTAAGTGTAAAAATATCAAGTTTTGTTTTTATGAGGACAAGGCTACATGTACCACTTTACAGTGGTGGAAAGTAACTAAGTACATTTACTCAAGCACTGAACTCAAGTACTGTTTTAAGGTATCTGTACTTTACTTGAGTACTTTCTTTTTGTGTGGCTTCAAACTTTGACTTCACTACATTTTAGAAGCAAATATTCTACCTTTTACTCATCTACATTCATTTGATAAATTTTATCACTAGTTACCTTTTCGTAATCAGAATAATGATACAAAATACATTATAACTATTTGACTTTATTGATCCCTGGTAGGAAATACACAACATACCCAGCAGTAATTAAAAAGTTAAAACAAGCTCCACCTTTACCAGCTGCAGCATTAAAACATGTGGTACACAATAATGTGTCAATAATTAATCCAATAATTGAATATGTATTAATGTGAAATGTGCTAATTAACATAATGAATATTTTTACTTTTGGTACTATAAGTATAGTTTGATGCCAATACTTTCATACTTCTACTTAAGGAACATTTGGATTTTAAGGAACAGGTGGATTTCATTTCATTTGGAAAGAGCCTGTTTTCCCACTTGTTCCAGTCTTTATGGTAAACTAAACTAACCAGTGAGCAGCTTTAGCTGAGGCTTGATGGGAAGGATTTAGTAATCAAAACCAAGACAAAGAAAAGATCTGATGGTGGTGCTAGACCAAACATGTAATTACAACTGGGGAACATGAGTGTGTGTACAACATTTCATGCCAATCCATCCAGTTGTTGAGATATTCCAGTTCACAACCAACAGACAGACAGATATACAGAAGTGCATATTCCTGTTTGGTTGTATTTTTTCTCTTTGTCAGGGTACCCAATGCCACCCAATGCAACCCTGATCAAAGTAGTATACAACAGCCAGCTGCGTAATGAGGTGGAGCTGGAGTGGCAGATAGAGAACGAGGAGGGAGGAGGCTGGACAGGTTTCATCCTGGAACACAGATGGATGTCCGAGCGTCCAGGACGGAGAGGAAGCAGCAATGTTTCAAAGCAAGAGATAGAGGGGAGGAGTGATCCAACAGCCTGGTATGCTAACATCATCCAGGACCCAGAAATAAGGAGTCATACAGTAGGAAGACTGACACCGAGTGCTACCTACCAGTTCCGCATCACACCTGTCAACCACCGCACCATTGGATATTCTTCTGTAGCAAAGACTCCAGGTATAATAAGGGAACAAAGTGAGGACAGAGATGGGACTTGTGCAAAGACAGGGTCTTGGCTCAGGGATGTTTTACAAACACATTACAAATAATAATATGACATTTTTAAATGTCATAGCCAGTGAGTTTGGTGATTATTAAAACATCGCCAATGCTGGTGTCTTGCTGTGATTGCTGTTACAATGACATAACATAACATTTATGTTTTTTTCTTTTTCTTTTTTGTTGTTATCCACATAGGTGAAAGACACACACAACTGAAAAGCACATGCATACATTTACACACACCTCACTGTTTCACACCTCCCAAAAACTTTTCCATTACCTCCTTCCCTGCTCTTTACTTTTCCTCAAACTGACCTGTGTGCTGCTTCTTGTCGATTCTTTATGTACCATGTATAGTAAGATCAGATCATACAAAGCCAGGTGACTGTTAAGGGTCTAGGGCAGGTGTCAGGGTAGGACAGGCCAGTGGTTATCAACCCTTGTAGTGTCAGTTCAACAAGGTTTATGTTAAGCCAGCCTATGGCACTTTTTCTGCAGTGACCACTGTAGCCAAAAGCAACAGTTATAGGGGCGGTACCACTGGCAAAGAACATACTTACACAACAATATTTACTCAGAGTTAGCAAATGAAGAGTTGTTACATAGTTTTAACTGGATTATTTATGTCATGAAGAAACACACTTTTTCAAAATGCTTGTATTCTGGTTCTCACAGTGAGCATAACGTTTCCAACCAACCATGAATTTGGTACATATTGAACAACACTGACATGGGTTGAGAACCACTTGAGGGAGACAAAGATATGATGAAAACAACTCCGTTTTTTCAGAGGTGTACTATTTTGCAATGTGTAACTGTGATGTGTTGCAGCGGAACCAAGCTCCAACATGTACCCCGCTGTGGTCGGAGCAGCTATCGGCGGGATGCTCTTTGCAACACTCATCACAGTTCTGGTGCTCGTGTACATAATCCGCAACCGCCGCAGCAATCCACGTGAGTCTGACACACAAGCACTAATATGCTAATGAATAAGTCACTGTCCCATTATGTGGCTTAATATTCTGTGTTTCTCCCCACAGGACTACATGACATGCTGTTTGGCTTGTGAGTATCTGTCTTTATATAACACCAAGAATAGAGAATAACCCGTTTGTCCTGATGCTGACTGCTAGTTACATGCATGGCCGTGCCACTGAAAGCGTTTCTTCATCTGGTGTGTCCAGGCAGCACAGTCAGTCAAAGGAAAACATCAACATCCCAGAGGATGAAGCAGTATCCGTGTCAGAGAGAGTAATAGAGGAGATTGGCGAATCATCCAGACCAGGTAAGATACACCCACATCAAGCACAAGAAATGTACATACCAGGTCTCATTTTGTGAAACTAAAATGAACTTGCATATTCTTATTACACTTCTGTACAAATACAAATATTTGCCTTGTTTCGGTGGATCTCCAACTGGCTCTAGGGCAACGGGTCAAAGTTCACTTGCGTTCAGCTTCGGCTCAATGGATGTGCTCGGTGGGCCAATAGACAAGTTATTCTAGCCTGTTTCTTCACCATGTTAATACAACACCTGACTAATACACAAATGTTATTGAACATAAAATGTATGTGATGGCAATGTATGTGACAGGAAAGTGAAATAGTCTGTACTCGCTAGTCTAAACAGGCAAATTAAATCCTGAGTGAGCACTTTTGCTGTTCAGGGCCTTTAAAATTGAATCTTATTCTGAAAAACCGGCTGATATTTTAAACAGTTTAAGCATTTTGCTTTGAGGAAATTTCCAAACCTTCCCAGAAGTCATCCTGTCAGTTTCACCCATGAGTAGACCTTGTTGCTTGCTCACATGATGCTGAACCTTGACACTGGTCTTTTCCAGGTCCAGCCCTGCATTTACCCCGGGCAGCTTCACCCCTCACCACCTCACCTGTGGGTGCCAGCCCCACCACCAGCCAGGCCCCTCCCACTGAAGATAACGAGCCCGTCAGTGTCACGATCACTGTCCAGGCTACAGGCTCATAGTCACAGATATATGACTTTCAGTTGTAATTGATTTTTTTTTTACATTATTATTTTGTAGATTGTTTGCGCAATCATTACAGCATGTGCAGTCTGTGAATTAGATTTCAACACAACTACAGTTACAAGCTCTCATATTTCATTACAACATTTTGTCATAACAATTTGAAGCATGGACATAAGGCTCAACTGATTCACACATTAAATGATATGCACGGGTACTGCTCAGCCAACAGGAGCATTTTCTTTCCTTACTGAGTTAGCAGTGATCCGTACTGTGTGCATTTATCATAGTATATAACACACTGAGATTTTAATATTTTATTGAAGACTATCATGTGAAACATAATCAGAACAAATGAGTTTTCTCAGAGGCAGAACATGGATGCATGCGTTTGTCCCTGTCTGCACCTACTGTACCATTGACCTTGTTGACATTCTAACACTAAACTAGACATAATGATTGACTCGTAGAGGGAGTGAGGAGCAGCTGAAAGGACCCAAGTTTTCAAAATTGTCCTCCCTCCTGACATCTAACACTTAACTTTCTCCACACATGATAAAAATACAAAAGACAAGAACCTAAACACACATAATGAGAACAACAGAACACATTTAAAATGGCAATAGAACAGCTAAATATATACAGGGTTTTCTCCAACGTCCGTAGCAGTTTGCATTTGTTTGTATGAGCTGCTCATGTGATGGGGAGTAAAATCTTCTGAGTGCTGACGATGTCACAGAGCCTCTGTTTTATCTTCACAAAGAGACGTTTAAACTCCAGACCATCACCCTGCAGAACACATACACACGTCAGCATCTCTCACACAGTCAACAGTATGCCAGATTAACTATTAGTACAAGACGATACTAACTGTGCCAAGACTCAGAATGAGCGTGTTACAGTATTAGGAAGTACTATTGATATTAGATGATGAGGGTACACATAAGCTTAAAAATATTCTGCTATATCCCTGTTGCTTTTCCTCACTAACAGGATGTTGCTCTTACTCATATCAGAAACCTTACATTCGCTATTTTGATATGCTAAAACCCACCTTAGACAGTCTGAAGTCCAGCAGCACTCTCTGATTCATCTCTAGCAAATGGACTTTGAAGATGAGTTTGTTGTGGCGCTTGTCCAGTGTGCTCACCGTCACCTAAAGGCAAACAGAGGTTCATTAAACTAAAGTGTAATATGATCCAAAAAGGCTTTCTCTGCATGACTTGCAGCAATATGCACCTGAGTCAGGTGCTTCTCAGATTCAGGACAACATTTCAGAAAAGACACGACTGATTTCCCCCCTGGCTTTTATTGGTCTAATTTGTTTGCACTATTAAAAGCAGCAAATGAATGAGTGTGCTCCAGTCATACGTCTTCTGAAGTGTTATATGACCCACAGCAGCTGTAAGTAGAGACAGGCAGATAATACTGAAACCACAAAACTTGTTTCACTACCGTGAAGTGTGTCAGCCCATCGTGCTTGCATCAAACGCAGAATACATGTGATGCTCAAAACTTCAAATATCACTGGTGCTTCACTGAGTGAGAGCCTTTTGAAAGCTTTGCAGCTAAACTATGTAATAGGCACATAATAATACGTATGAGAACATTTCCACCTTGTACAAAATGATAATGTGACTGTGACTTACAAGCGTTACATAAACATCAACCATGAAGTTAAAGTGCATCAGAAACACAGGAACTTAACCACACTAATAAGTTACAGTAATATTTAGTATTGGCAACAAAATGTTATAGCTAGGCCTTTTGGTTTGAGAATATTACAAAATATTTAATGATTAATTTATTGGAACATATTGCACAATAACAGCTACATTTAATGCAGCACTTTTATAACACATTAGACTAAATCTATTAAAATCTGTGAGCCAAGGTATTGGAATTTGAATATTACCACTAGATGTCACTCAAGCTTTGTTTGAGACCCCAAAACTTCAAATGTGTGTGTATGTCCGGCTGTGCTGTGCAGGGGGTGTTTTCTTTACTCATCGGTGTCAAATAGTGGATTGAACTATGTGAATCCTGTATATTTGAGTGCAGATGTACCTGTTTGGCACAGGTGAGTTTGAAGCCAAGTGCTAGGCCATCACAGGCATCTTTCAGGGCAGACAATGAGGAGTCAGCATCCACAGTGGTGAAGAAACGTGTCATTCTCCGCACTAATCTCTGCCACAGAGACTACACAAACAGAACGATAAGAAGTCAAGTCAGGAAATAACTGACAGCACTTTAAAATGGGATTGTATAAAGTCTAAATTTACTTTGTAAAAATTCTGTCACACTAAAACGAAGATCAGAAGGAAACAGTTTGATAACGTAACAAAAAGAAAAAATAGCTTCCAGGGCCTCTGCTGCTGCTGAAAATTCACACAGAGTTATTGCATAAAACAAAACAGGAACTGATGCAGTGTGAGCATGTGTTACCTGGCTGGCTCCAGGTGTGCCCAGCAGTTGGCTACCCAGTAACATGTGCTCCGGCTTGGTTGGCTGAGAGAAACTGACCTGACCTTCAGCCTGACCGATTAGCAACATGGCTTCCCAGCCACCTGCTGCAGCATCAGGCTGAGAGCTGGAAAACTGCATCCTGTCATCACTACGGAGGGAGGAATGTGGTCTTCAGATTACAGGCATAGAGAGAAATACAACTGAGTTAAAATTAGAAGGCCACAAAGCTCTGACCTGTTGGCCAGGGACTTGGGTCCGACTTCTGACCGAACAAGTTTGTTTTCTCTTGAGCCTAGAGAACCTGCTGACTGCTTTGCACCTGCAGAGATACACCAACAGATGTCAGTCCAGGGAACATCATGCTTAAAGTTGAACTAATTCTATTATACTTATACTTGCCTTGAGTAAACCAACGGTCTTTCTGTATGTCTGCGATGGGGATGCGTGCATCTGGACTGGCTATCAGTAATTTGGATAACAAACCTAACAGCCAAAGGTGCTTGTAAATTAAACGAGGTTTCAAAACAATTTAGCAAATACAGGGTTCATAAGCATATATAATTTGGGACTTACTAAGAGGCATTGGTTGTATTTTCTTCCAAGGAGGTAGGTACGTTTTCTTTTGAAGCCAATCTGAATACTCTTGGCAGCTCTCAGTGGGCTGGTCCCATGGCAGCTCTGGCAAAGAAGCACAACAATTTTGCAAAGTCTTCTAAAGACATATATTCTCTTTATCACAGGGCTTCAAGTAAGAAAAAATTTGCAAACTTCGTATGACCTACTGTTGTTAAACAATTGACAAATTAGTCTAAAAGATCGCATCGACAGGAAAACCAATGAATAGCCTGTTCACTGCAGTGCTTTTTAAAGCAGCGTGCAATTGTTTGCAGATTATTTCGCCATATCATAAATCCAGTGGGTCAGAGGTTTTCATACACTCAGTTGACTGGGCCTTTAAATCCAGAAAACACTGTCATGGCTTTAGAAGCTTCTGATTGGCTAATTGACATGATATGAGTCAAATAGGTGTAGCTGTAGATGTTTTTCAAGGCCTACCTTCAAACTCAGTACCTCTTTGTTTGACATCATGGGAAAATTTAAAGAAATCAGCCAAGACCTCAGGAAAAAAAAAACTATGTGCCTCCACAAGTCTGACAGTCTTACAAAAATATAACACTATAACTTTCACAGTACTGTAATGTACTGGACTGCAGAAGTACTATATGTATAATAATGTGTCCCCGGACACTGATCTTACCTCCAGCAAGCATAGCAGCGAGGACTATCCCACAAGCCCAGATATCTGCAGGTTGAGCTTTGTATTCTGTCTGGCTGAGAAGCTCTGGGGCCACATAGGGAAGAGTCCCACAGAGCCGATTCAGAAGTCGCTCCCGTCCTTTGAAACGAAACACGGTGGCCAGTCCAAAATCTGTCAGCTTCAGGTTATCTAAAGGAAATCAGCAGACAGCATTCATTTAAGACACAAGCCAAAGTTCTTCCTTCAACACCTTAACACACATCGCATTCCTTCACCTTTGTCATCCAGCAAAATGTTCTCTGGCTTTATGTCTCTGTGGGTGATGCCGACACTGTGGAGGTACTCCTGCAAAAGTGCAACTAAGCATTGAACAACAGCCGAGACAGGTGCAGAAGGTCACATCAACACACAGGTGCACTTCACTTATAACAGCTGCGCTTCACTTACCACAGCTGCTATCAGCTGCTGGAAAAACTTATGAGCATCTCTCTCTGCCATTCCCACATCAGGCTCTAAAATGAGATGTAAAAAGGACATCTCAATAACCATCATCTCAGGCTGAGACACGTCAACCATTCATGTCATCCATTGCCAATATGTCATGGTTTACCACTGAACTATGTAAAACAAATTTGAAGGTAAAAAATGCATTTTAAATTCAATACATGAAAAAAAAAAAAAACAGCTGAAGACTCAAGAATTTGCGGTTTTTCACTCAACTAGTTTGGTGTGATATGTCACAATTCACTTCGTAAATGCAGGTCATTTGTCCACAATTAAAACAAACAAAAACAATCACTTAAAGCTAATGTAGACACATTTTGATTTTTAATATTGAGATTTAATTTAAATGTGATCATTTCCATGCAGTTTTTCCTAACCTCTGGGTATAATGCTGTCATTCCGCTGCAAGTCATAAAACATAGAAGTCTACTGTCACAGGAACTTTTTATATTAGTCTAAAGCTGAACACTTCTGATTGTGATTCCTTGCATAGTAGCTGTAACATTTAAAGAGCAGATTAAATGACAATGTCACATACCAGTGACTTCAATCTAACATTATAACTATCAAACTTTGGTCAAACCCTCCGTGGACGCAGTCCTAGATGTACCACCTGCAGTCATCTGTCTCACCGATTCGATCGAACAGTTCTCCCCCGGTGCAGTACTCCAGGAAGAGGTACACAGTGTGTCCTTCCTTCCGATGGCCAAAAAAACGCACGACGTTGGTGTGGTTGAGCATCTACCAAACAGAAGTAAGTGGCACACAAAGATTCACATAAAGCTGTGCACTTACTTTCACGCTTCAGCTGTCAGACACTGAGTATACTGAAGGTGGCTGATCTACCTTGTGGATGCAGACCTCCTTCTTGACATTTTCAGCACACTCCTTGGCCTGAGAGGTATCGATCACCTTCACTGCAACCGCCTCCTCAGTCTGTCTGTTCACCAGCAGCCTGACCCTAAGAACAGGAAAGAG